TGGACAACGAGCTGGACCTTGTGAGAAGGAATGCCATCTGCCACACTGCTGGGTGCTCAGGTGACAGGATTTCTTGACTTTGCGCGGTGGTTGAGGACGCTTACCCTCGGGAAGTTCACAGGCTGCCTCGACCCGAGATTTGTGATGTAAGGCAAATTGGACCTGAGAGATCCATTCCCCATGGGAGGTCTCCAAGTTCGAGAGATAGAGATAGATTTCTCCCTCTTCAAGGGTTTCATCATGGTCGGATCTGTAAGAGTGTTGACCTTTGGCCTTGCCTGACTGTGGAGGGTGGCCGTGTCTTGGAGGGTTGCGTGGATTCTTCTTCTTGCCTTGGTGGTAAAACGGTTGCTGATAGTAGGCTTGTTTGTCAGTGGAGCAAGCTGCGATTGGCTTGGAAGTGGATTGTGCCGCTTGAAGACGAACCTGGTGAGAGTGGGATGTGGATTGGTCCTGTTGGTCATGTTGGTCGTATTGATGCCAAGAATCAAATTGACCGTATCCTCCACTGTAGCGTCGATCCTGGTGTTTGTTGGAGTTTTGTTTTGCGTGGAAGACCAACCATACTGGTAGTCCCCTTGAGAACTGGACTGTGGTTGTGATGTCCAGTCCTGGTAGTAGTGGGAGCGTTGTGGTGGTTCCGGAAAAGCCATTGAAGGTGACCGGGTCTGTGAACGTAATCGACCAGAGGTAGATCTCGGTGAGCGTGAGGCTTGTCGGTGCCTGTGCCTGGAATGAGTGGATGTTGCACATCGTCGATGTGGACTGCGAGGTTGAGAGATAGATCGTTTGTCTGGACGGAAGGTCTTGTCTTCACGAAGATGGTCCCTGGTCGGTAGTGGTGACCGTGAACGTCTATGAAGGATAGGCGAGGCATGGACATGGGACGATTGTGGAGCCACTAGTGGCGGATGTGGTGGTTGTGGTGGAATGACAGGTGGAGGTGGAGTAGGTGAAGTTGGGGGTTGAGGTTGGTTAAATTCTTGACGCTTTCGAAAGGTGTCGGCCATCTCCTCTTTGAAGTTGTCACGAAGCTTCTTGATCATCTCTTCTGGATTGAACGAAGTTCAAGTGGTGCTGGTCCCTTCAGGTGGAGCCTTTGGTTGTGGAGGCTCACGTGATGACGGAGGGATAGTTGGAGTGAGTGGTGGTGAGTGGACGTGAGGTGTCGGTTGGTGTATGAACTTTTGGAGCTGGTGGATATCACATGCAGCTTGAGTTGCAAGCTATTGATTGGGCACAACATTCTGCTGCTGCAAGGCTGGTATCTAAGCTTGGGACTGCGCTTGTTGTTGCATCTGAGGATCACCTCCATTGAAATGTCCACCCATGGAGGTCCACATGTTTGGTGTCATCTGGTCAGGATTTGGTGTAGAAGAGCTCATCCATGGTCGAAACAGCCACGGGAATGGAAACATGGCCGGCAGCAAAACTGTCAGGTTTTAATATTTACAAAACAGTTCAAACAGTACGATGCATCCATCAACCAGTGCAGAAGTTCGCGTTCAGGCTCAAAGGCCCTCCAATCTCAAGTCACAACCCTCTGGACGGCTTAAGTATTCAACCCTTGGAAGTGGTGCACAATTGAACCTCACCGACGACCAAAAAAAGAAGAATCATCATACCTGCAAGCATGTACCTACCTGTAGCATCCTTTATGCTGCATATTGCCACAAAAGCTGAGCAGTCTCTCGAGCATCATTGGAAAAAGGAAGGTTCTCACGGCAGACAGCATCCACTTCGGTTCAGTATCATTTCATGCAGTACCCTCCAAGACACCAAAGGTGAGTCCCCAGACAGCAGGCAGCAGTTCAACACAATAATATTCGACAGGTGAAACTCGAAAAAAGACCATCTGTTCCACTTTACTTAGACAAATTACTAGATTAAAAGTGTAAATTCAGAGATCAAGTCGAAGGATCCAACATCCTACCTAGAAAGGTATTCCCCGAGGGGCTCACGACATCTTGTCGAACCGATGTGAGTAACACACTTGCTCAGAATTGTCATCGCGAATTTTGTTGTGAAACGCATCGTGCGAGCACGTGCAAAAACACTCCAATTACACCTGACAGGAATGGGTTCGTGAAAGGACCCGAAAATTCATGAGAAGCTACCATCGCCATAGCCAGAGAGTTGCGCCAACTCGTACCACTCACAATAACAGTTGAGACAAATTTATCTGAAGAAATTGACAGGAAAATCGACTTGCCGGTTCTGAGCTTAGCCGGCTGCTATGACGTAAGCCACATTAGAAAAAGATTTGGACGGTACGTCGATCCAGCGTCCCAGATCGATATCACAGAATGTCATAGCCGTCTTCGTTGGCTGCAGAACTATGACACTCCCTGCAGCCCCCTGCAAATTTGAAATTTAATAAAAGACAGAAAATTGGAAAAGGAAACCGAATTTCCGTCAGGTTAGAAGTTTTACATCTGTTCAGATTGTTCATTGCTCACACACACACTTTGGGCGTAAATGGGATCACTTTGGGCATAAATTGAATCACTTTGTTCACTTTAATGGTTTTGTTTTGGTATCCTTTAGGCTTTCTTCGGGGTTTCCTTCAAGGTTTCTTTAGGGTTTCTTTTAGGGCTCTTTGGGGTTTCTTTTGGGGTTTCTTTAGCGGTTCTGTCATGGTTTCTTCAGTATTTCTCTAAGGATCCTTTAGGGGTTCATTTGGGGGTTCTTTAGGCTTTACTGTTTCTTTAAAGTTTCTCTAAGTTTTTTACGGTTTCTTGTATGGTTTATGGAGAGTTTCTTTAGGGCTTCTTTGGGGTTTCTTCAGGCCTCCTTCCTTCCTTCCTTCCGTCCGTCCGCCCGTCTCAACACCAGAAAACCGCAAAAAAATAGTCCTCCATTTTCTAACTTGTCTAATCTCTCATGAAGTGTTCCGCTTTCAGCTGTGCCGTCGCTGAATGTCTGGCCCAGTTGCTGGAGCTGGAAGAACCATTGGGTTTCCCATGGGCATGACAGGGTTGTAGACATATGCAGCTTCGACACCTCAACATATCACTTATGTCAAGGTAGCTTCATTTCTTTCAATTCATGGTATTTCCGTTGCATTGGGTTGAACTTCAATTGAGGAAGAGCACGCTCAGCGAAGAACTGTTTCATCAGGTGCGCACGTTCTTTCAGTCAAAATCTCTACGAAACTTATATGCTTTCTGTCTGAGGTCACGCAAGAACATGTGAGACTGCTCGCTGTGTAATTTCAGTAATAGGATGCATTTGGCTTAATTCCCGATATGCGCCGTATGCCTCTTTTTGACAGATGCGAATCGAACCCAACAAATTCCAAGCTGACAACTGGCACGTAGAGCTTCATTCTCCTCAAACAGGTACGGAGTGCAGCAGCGCCGCGCAGTAGTTTGACATGGATGAAACCCAAACACTTTGGCCCGTAATGGCCCATGTCAATTTTCAACTTCATAAAGACACCTGCTCCTATTTGTTCAAAGACAATGGGCTACATCTCCGTTTCAGCAAGCTTAGAATTCCAGGCCATGAGGGTAAAGGTAGGCCCTTGATGTGATCAACGGATCGAATAACGACTGTCAGTCCTTGGATAAGCGCACAATCTCAGACTCAAGAGAGAGCATATGGTTTTCTTGCCTTAATACAAACGCGTACCAACACCAGGGATTTTCAGTGAACTGCTTCGGCTGGCAAAGCACACAAAATCAAACGGATAGAGCACATGAAAGAATGGTACAGTGACAATAATAGATATCATATTTACATATATTACCAAATAGGCGCGATAGCTAGTGAGGCAGTGAGGGTTGCAGATTATGATTTGAACTGAACGGCGTTTCTTGTGTGATTCAGCTTTACTTCTGCTAACGGAGCAGCGTGAGCACCTTTTTACTTGGGCTAAAAGAAGCCTGCAGCGGAAGGTGGTTGTTATCCACTGCAGTCTGGTTGGTTTGTGTCAGATACTACACTTGATCATAGTCAAAAGGTCAGCATCTGAAATATTCCATGCACTCCCCCTTTGGCAGCATGCTCTTCTTCAATCTCTTCGTTGTACTCCTCATAGAGCGCATCCTCTTGATCTGGATCTTCTTCTTGCCCAGATTCCGCATCTCGGTCTTCAGATCCATCGCGATCAGGACCTTCAGAGCCTCCCTTGCCCTTGCCCTTGAGGAAGGCGCGGTAGGTCTCCAAACCCATGCTTGCAGCTCCTCGCCCAATTCTTGGAGATGCTGAGCTGGAGCTTGAGGCGCCTGTCGGCGGGTGCAGCGCTGCGTCCGCCTCCATCAGCCCATTGATAGCAGCCGCCGCTTCGGTGTACGCCTCTTCCGCGGGGCCGCTTCCATTTCCATATTCTTCTATGGCACCTTCAGCCCTACGTATGGCTGCTGCAGCTCGGCTGATGGACTGCGCCAGCTGCAGCTCTGCTCCGGGGTTGGACCCCTTCCCCTGTAGGGTGATTTTTCCACCCGCACCCTTGCCTCCTTGGTTGGAGGTGTATAGTGTACGAGGGTTTTTGCCCTTCTGGTACACTTTTTGCCAGCCCAGCTCCGGCGATGTGACCACCTTCTGTGGCTCCCATGAGGAGTTCTTGCCGACTTGGAACTTGTTCTTTCGTCCTGTCAGCTCATCGGATCTTCTCTTCATCCGGTACATGAACTCCGGGGCCTCGGTCTCCTCGACCTCTTCATCATCTTCGTCTTCGCCTTCCAGGGCGTCGTTGTCAGCTTCGCGGTGGGGTAGCGGGTCTTTGGGCGAAGTGCCCAGCTCTCATTTGCTTTTGCCCTTGCTTTCGGGCGGAGGGCCATGGTTTCGTTCTGGTGCCTGGAGCTCTCATCATACTGCAGCTGCACGTCCACCACCTCCGGCTCCGATGTACTCAGACTCGACAGAGTCCAGGATGAAGTTGGTGGCGACGGTGCCCTTTTTTGCGAATGCCCTTGGTGTGGGCTGCGGCGTTTGATCCGGCGTCGGATCTGGTGTTGTGGCTGGAGATGCACTGCCACACATGGATCCTTCTCTGGTCATCCGTAGGATCCTTTGCAAGATCGCCTCTCTCGCTTGAGGTTGTTCTGGAGGTTCTTGTGGTACTCCTCTTGTTGTTGTTGGAGACCGCCCCTTGATGCCTGTGGTTCCGGTGGTACTGCTTGGGCTTTTGCTCTTGCCATCGCCACCTCATGCCGAACCACATCTTCAGGCCTCATGAGGTCCAGGGCTGGGCCTCCGGCATATCGCTCAAGCCATTCTGTTGCATGTGCCAACTGCTCGGGTGTTCGGTACCGTGTAGGGCAGTGTAGGGCCCAAGTCAATGGACATGTTCTGCTGGGTCGGAGGCCTTTGTTGCCCTTGAAGTTCAGGACGATGCCCCCATGGTCCAGATTGATGTCCTTGAGGTCTGTATTGATACCCCCCGGGTCCTTGTTGATGGCCATGAGCATGTTGATCTCCTCCACCAGGGTATCCACGCATCCGGAATCCTGGGCAACATCCACCTCTCCAGATTCCAGTGTAGCCAGGCGGAGGTGGTCCTGGTAGATTTGGCGGTTGCATCTCATACTTCGTCTCTTTCATGACCTGCCTTGGTCTTGCCATAGTGCTGGCTTCTTCATCGCCTGGCTGTTGGTCATCTTTTTTAGGTCTGGCTGGCGCCGCCGGCAAATGCTTTGCCATTTCTTGCATTTGCTCCCACTCCTTATCCGTCAGTGGTCTCGAAGTTGATGAGGCTGCACTTCGTAGAACTGCTTCTCGTTCTTCACCTCGTTCTTCTTGAAGCTTTCTGCGTGCGACCTCTTTTTCAACCCATTCTTTCCTTTTTCTTTCTTGGCGCCATTTCTCATTCTTTTCTCTTCTTTCTTTGTCCCACTCCTCATAGGTGAGGTTCCTTCGGCCAGCTGCCTTTGCTTCAGCCATCTGCCTTTTCGTCTCCTCCTCGGCAGCCTTCCAGTCCACCGACGACAGAGATGGCGTTCTCGGTTGAGGCGTGGCCTCTTGTTGTTCGGGCAGTGCTCGCCCTTGTTGTTTCTCCTGGCGTTCTTGCTGGAGAAGCCTAAGGCAGGCTAGCCGCTCCGCTCGAGTTCTCTGCATGCTGTGCATCTCGCGGATCTCTTTTTCCAGCTGTGGCTGCTTCTTCTTTACTCGAACTCTTCGGTATTTCTTCAACTTGGGTCCTTCCTGTGTCTCCACATCTGCCCCAGGTTGTGACCCTTCAGCAGGTCGATCCTCTTCTCCTTGAGGATGTTCTTGTGCTGCTTGCGCTGGTACTTCACCTTCTTCCGGAGATAGTCCACCTCCATCAGCCAGGACCATGCGTCGAGAGCTTTCACCCTCCGCTTGAGGTGAATCTTCCACCAGCTGCCCCTCGTCTTCTTGTTCTTGTTGTTCATGCGCCCTGCTTGGCTTCAAAGTCACCGGCGCGGATTCTCTTTCTCCTTCACGGTCAGAAACTCCATGCCTTGCTGGCTTGAGGCTCACCCTTTTCGGCTTCGGTTTGCCAGGGCATAGTTCATCTAGACCACCTCGACCATCGCTCATCACCGCAAAGTATCGCAGCGCCGGTCGAGATTGTCCAGCTATGTTTGAACCAGGCCGCAATGAACTAACATCAACACATTCCAAGACACCATCAACATTCCCCACCGAAGTTCCCTTTGTAGTAGGACTCATCTTATTGACTTTTGGTGGTGTAGTGCCCTGTTTTGGGTAACCCTTTCCTTTTGGGGAGTGTTCTGGGGATGCCGACCCGGGACCTTTTCCACCAGGGATGCTGTCCTCAAGTTGGAAGCTTGTTGCCCCAGTAGATGACATTGCCGAAGCGCCTTTAGCTCCAGTTGTCGAAGAAGACCCCTTCCCCTTTGAGGATTGGCCCTGCGTTGATGCCATCGAGCTCGGATCCATGTAGGTGAACTCCACTTCCTCCTGTTCTTGTTCTTCTTGAATCCCTCCATGTTGTCCCAGCTCGTTGGACTTCAGCTTGAAGAAAGTGAACCCTCTCCATTGCTGGCCGTTGATACCATCAGGTCTTTTGTGTGCTGACACCCATTCATCATGCTTCACCAGTCTGGTGCCATCATCCAAGAAGAGGACCGTAGTACGGTTGATGCTCAAGTTCTTCATGTTTGGCGTTCTCCGGTTCAACGGATTGAACAACCTTGTTCGTTTCCTCCCATGAAGTCGGATCAACCATCCTGAGAGGATGCCCGACCATTGATCTGCGTCTGTTTGGTATGGGAACTCCTGGAGCATCTGCATCTCCCATGGTCGTTCCCGTTCTACCTCTCTTTGATCTTTTTGTTCACTGCCTTCATCAGCAGCTTCTTGTTGTCTTTGTTCTTTGTCACCCGCAGCTTCTTGTTCTTGTTTTTGGTCTCCCTGCAAGACCTCCGAGCCGATCTCCCCCTCATCCGCATCCAGTCGTGTCGATGCCGAAGACACCGACGATCCCGTGGCACCCGTAGCGGATGATAGAAGTGACATTGCTCGAAGTCTCGGGCCAGAGCTGCGGTCACCATGATGAGGTCCAGAACCAGGCCCTTCTTGACGTGCTGGTACATCTCCTGAACCCTCATCATCTTCCACCAATTCAAAGCTGCCATCTTCTTCAACAGCTTCATCCAATTGTGTCTCTGCAGCTTGTTGTGTGCTGCTTTGACTTTGATTTGCATGTTGCGGAGGTCCTTCAACCTGTCGCTGAAGAAACAAAGTGTAGCCCGTCCATCCTGTAGTTTCCCAGGTTTCGGACCAGTTGTCAGCCACTTCACTTCGTCTTCCACCTCCATGGATCACCGTGAATCTTCGCCCCATGAAAGCTCCTCCGTCTTGACGTGCGGTGATTCCGCATCACCACCCGGTATCTCCTTCCAAAGAGCTCCACAACGTCCATGTACTGCCATCCATCTTGAACCCGTGGAGATTGTGTGAACAGCCAGTTCTCTGCAACCCTTCTCAGAACTCCATCGACCTCGTTATCTGTCGGTTCATGTGGTAGAGCCCCTTGAGGTTGTTGTCGTGGATGCCCTTGGTGACTTGTTGAGCTGCTAGAAGAAGCACCTTGTTCATGCCGTTCACGCTAAACTGCTCGATGAGTGCTTCCTCTCTCAACTTCAACTGCTCGTCGAAAAGCTTCAGCACGTTGTTTCGGTTGTGCCTCATCAGCTCTCCGCTTTGGTCGCCTTTGGCTGTGGTGCTTTCGCTACATGTTGCTGCATCCATGGCACTGGAGGTGCCTTGTATCCAGCAGGTATTCTTCCAAGCTGCTGCAAGTATGCATTCCCATGAGGGTCCCCATGGGGGAAATGGCACACCAGGGTCCGTCTCAGAGTCCACATCTTCAATTGGATCATCAGGATCTCCTTGATATCGGAGTCGGCATCTCATGCGCTGATTGCAGTCCTCCAGTCACAGGCGCTGATTGCCGCTGCAGAGCACCTTGTGGTGGCCATAACGACTCCACCCCATCGCTTGCACACGGTGGCGCCCGATCCGTGGATGAGCCTTTTTCCAGGGTATGGGGGAGTAGTTCATGTCCCTGGATGCCATTACAACAAAGATGTTCTTCTGAACCTTTTGCCGTGCTGGCTCGGCTTTGTGGATTGGGTGGATGTGCCGCATCCAATTTCCCTTTTGGGGTTTGGCCATCTTTGTGGTCCTTTTGCGGTCTTGTTGCCAGTCTTTTGGTCTCCAGACTCTTGGAACTTTCTTTTTCTTGTTGGACTCCTACCACTACCATGGCTGCTCCGGCCACCACTAGCGGCACCTCACTCCGTAAAGCCAGTTGATGCCGTAGTTGAGCTAGTCGTCAAAGGGCCCCGTACTTTGGAGATTGAGACTTCTCCTTCATCAGACATTCCGATCAACCCCAAGAACCGCACAAATGCCTGACCTTGAAGCGGCTTTGTTAGTCCATCTGCGCCCAGTTCCAAACCTGAGCAATGTGAGACTGCCCAGGGCTCCTCAGGATCTTGCACCACCTCACGCAACTTCGCCGATCGAAGCCGCAAGTGTCTTGTTCTCCAAGCTCCAGTGTCGGATGTGAGTTGGCTGATGCCTGACTTGCTGTCGCCCTGCATGTGCTTCCGCACTCCCCCATACCCAAGGACTTCCAAAAGGGCTCCTGTTGACTCGCCGCATTGATACGCCTCATTGTACGCCAAAAGTTCTGCCTCTGCTGTACTTTGGGTGATGAAAGGTTGCCGCGTTGAAGACCACATTGTTGGGTTCCCGCCGTGGGTCATCATGATCCCTTGCACTGAGCGGTATCCTTCATGAGGTGGTCCAAAGCTTGCATCCACCATCACCTCCAGGGTATCTGTTGGACCGCCACCCTTGTAGTGGAGCTTCTTTGAGGCGCTGCCACACAGGCATTTCAGGTTGTTGTCCAATTTCTACGACATAGCCAGGCCTCTTATGGAGCAGCCTGGACATGACGCCCACAGTGGGACGCGTTCTTGTTGTGAGCCACATCAGCTCGCCACACAACTGCTGAGCCAGTGAGGTTCTCTTCAGGCTCTTCTGGTCCTTCTTCAATCTTTGGGCATGGAATTGCCGCTGTTTGGTTGGTCTTGTGCTTGTCGATGAGGTCACGGATGTACTTCTCCTGTCCGAGCGCATAGCCCTGGTCAGTCTTTGAGATTTCACATCCACAAAACGTGACCGTGACCCACTCCGGCGTTGCCAGTGTGAACTTCTCCTCCAAGGCCTTCAAGGTCTCCTCAAGGAGATCATCCACATAGACCCCCATGTTGCCAATGACGAACCACTTCTCGCCATCGGAGGTCTTCTCCATTTCTTCAATTGACCACACGTGGGGCTCGTTGGAGCCAGCCGGCGATCTCTCCCTGATTCCCCTTTCCATGCGATGGTTCTGCAAGTCTCGATAGACTGCCCAGTCCTTTGGACTTTCCACCAGTCCGTAGAGCGCCCCTTTCACCAACCACCATTCTTGTCCACAAACTTGTGCTTCCTTGGTGATCGCTGGGGGTGTAACCAGGGTCAGTTTGCCTTTTTCTTCACGTTGTGGAGCTTGAAGAAACGCAACTTTGACATCGACGGTTGCGCAGCCCCAGCCACATTGAGATGCCTTTGACACCAGCGACCTTGTGCACACTGTGCATAGTCCACCTGCTGCCACTTCTGCATCTTCATTCTTTGCAGCCTGGTTACCACACGCAACCAACCTTGCCTTTCTTTTGAAAGGTGGCTTGATCGTTGCCACAAGCTTTCCAGGGATCACCTCGATGTCATGAGTCCTTTGGAGCTCCTGGTACTGCTCCCTGTTGATCGGTTCGATGGCCTTGTGCTTCAAGAGGGATTCATACTCCGACTTGATTGGATCTTTCCATTCTTCAAGCTCTTTTCGAACTTCATCCAAGGCCAGTGTCTTTGTCACCAGGGTCTCCTGCTCTTTGACCATCGGCTCTAGCTTTGCCAAGCCACGAAGTGCTCCTTCAAGTCTTTGAACTTCATCATCAATTTCCGTCAACGTGACCTCTCCCAACATGTCGTAGTCCCCAATTTGGGCTTCTTCCCTTCGAAGGCGACATAGTTCATTGTGTTGGAGAAGGCAAAATTGTTGAAGGTGATTCAGGTACTTCTTAATTTCAGGTTGTTGGAGTTGTTGATCTCCAGGAAGTTCATGATCCACTACCGAATCCAGCCCACTCCCCCCTGTTGTGGTCCACAGCAGTTTTGAGACACTGGGAGGTAGGAGATCCACATGTTGCTTGCCACGAAGCCGTCGAGGGCGACTCCCATCAGCCAAGTGAAGTTCCCCCAGAGTTGGAACTATTTGTTGTTTTGGATTCAGAACATGAACTTGAACTTCTGCGCCACCTTGATGAGCATGAAGCTTCTCCACCACATCGTCTGGGCAAATCTCCAAAGGTTCTTCCACATCATCGCATAGATGATCTTCTTCTTCTCCATCAGGCATGTATGATGGAGAGTATTCTTCTGCATCTGGTTGTGGAAGTTCTGGTAGTAGCAGAGGAAGTTCTGGAGGATTCACCACCACTGTAGATCGCATGAACTTGCCCGAGGTCAGGGATTGGATGTAGTACCCTTTGCTTGTTGCACTCATCCCCATTGCTGGCCCCAAGACTCGGATCTTTTCAAAAGGTTTTTCCCAATCTCTTCGATGCCATCTCTTGAGCTTTGCAAAACATTCCGTGCCGAACGGGATCAACGGTGGCAATGTGATGCCCATTGAAGCAAGTTGATCACGTTGTCGTTGCTCCAGTTAGCTTCCAGCACAGCAGCTCGAAGATGCACACGCGTCTGTGCCTGGATGATGCCCAACTCGGACTCACATCTCCCATTACCAGCTGATTCATCGCCAGCTGTACTGGTTTGCAAGATGTCTCGTTGAGTGCACCAATCCCGCAGCTTGACACCTGTGAACTCCCTGGCCCGGTCGCTATGCAGTCTCAGCACCGGCAACTGTAGAGCACGCAGCCTCATGTACACCTCTTGTACCGCTCTGACCACTTCTCTGGAATGTCTGCTCTGCATCGGCACCGCAAAGGTGAGGTTGCGGACTTCCACATCTTGAAGTTCAGCGACTTTCTCTTTCCAGAACTGATCCTTCACATCCCACCAACAGATCTCCGCTGCTGTCAGTTCATCATGTCGATGTGGCACTATTCCCCATAAGTCATCTTCTTTTGATGGCTCTTTATCTTCTTTTTCTTCCTTGTCAGCAGAGCCTTTGTCATCCTCCGTTTGTGGTTCTTGATCTTTTCCTGGCTTTGGAGCTTGGTCGTCCGCCGCTGCAGCTTGTTGGTCATCTTCACCTGTAAGATCCACCGGTGCTACAGCTCTGGCCAGATTTTCTTCCAACTCCTTCTCGAACTGCTTCAGGAGATCATCTCTATCCAATGGACTTCCTTCCGTTGAAGGCGGCGTTTTTCATCCCCTGCGACTTGTTGCAGACCTTCTGGTAGTGGAAAACTGTCTTGTACCGGGACCGTATACACAGCCACCATGAAGTAACTTGGTCTTCCTCTTTGGTCAATTCCCTTCTTGCGGGGTCCGCTCAAGTCGATACTCAAAGTATATGACTCAGGGTGTTGGATGCGACGCCTTGGTCGGTCTCTGCCTGCTCCTTCAAGGCAAACTGCACAGTCTCGCCGAAAAGGCTTGTGACCGTTTGAAACATGCAGTTGCCATTCTTTGATTTGTCTTTGCTCTGTTGCAGACAACGCACACAGGGCAGGAGTCTGCTCATTGACCCGGTTAATGCCCTTCACCAAGAAGTTCTTCAAGCCCGGTGCCCATGACGCCAAAGAGCTCGAAAGTTCCACGCGCTGGTTGAGGTCTGAGGGCCATACCTTAGAAGATCCCTTTGACATCAATCCTTGCAGGTCAAAAAGTTCCTTCATCGAAGTCAAAACCGTAGTCGGTTTCTTTGTTTGGTGTCCAAGTGCACTCTGATGGAAACTGATCCTGTTCAGCTGGCATTTCTTCACCATCACCTCTGTTTCTGGCCATGCCAAGAAGCTTGGAAAACGTCCGAAGGTGGTTGCTTCCATTGTTCTGGATCTTGTGGTTGTTCCAACGTGATCTCCAAGTTCTTGTTTGCCTCATAGGCCTGGACGGCTAACCACAGTGTCCGCATCCAAAGCAGGTTGTCGTTGCAGACCAACTTGAGCTCCTCTTCCGTGAGGCCATGCCTGCCAAACCTTTCACTGCCATGTCTTGCTCGGACAATGTGGTCCAGACTCATCACCTTCAAGAGATCGAAGTCTGCAAACACTCGACCTGCATGGTGGCCCAGCAAGAAGGACATCGATCTTTCCACTCCTCGC